GTGGCTGCCTTCAAGATTCCTCCTCAACTCTGTTTTTCAGCCATTTGATGATGATGTTTTTGGTGTGTGTGTTTTATTCTAGATTGGGGTTCTCCGAACTTCTTGAGTCTGTGGTTGTCTTTAATTTTGGAAATTTCTTGGCCATTATGTCTTCCCATATTTATTGTCTTGTACTCTCTCTTCTCCTTTTGGGACTAACTCCACATACGTTACGTTGTTTGCTTTTGCTTCCCAATCTTGAATGTTCTCTTCTGCTCCTCCCCACCTGTCTCTTGACACTCTTTTTCTCTTTTTGTTTCAGTTTGGGTAATTTCCATTGACCGCTCTTCAAGTTCAGCTATGCCCAGTCTGCTGATAACCCCATCAAAGGAATTTTTCTTCCCTGATACTATGTTTTTATTTCAAGCATTTCCAATTGATTCTTTTCTTTTATAATTTGCATCTTTCTGCTTACATTCTTCATTTGTTCATGCATATTGTTCACTTTCCAATAATTCCTTTAACATGTCCGTCACAGTTATTATAAAGTGCCTGTCAGATACTTCCAGTATCTGGGTCGTCTATGGATCTGATTCTGTACAGTGTTTTATCTCTTGACAATCGGTCTGGTGTTCTGTTTGGGGTTTTTCCCCCATTTTGTGGGCGTATGTGTGATGTTTTTTGGTTGAATGCCAGACATCATAGAACAATATTTAAGACACAAATCTCTGCACCTCTTCTTCCAAGCCGTTCATGGGGATGGGGGGGAGTTGAGTCAGTCTCGCGAGTCCTTGAGCTGGGTTTTGGTCTAATTGTTGCTGCTCTTACCTTCAGTGCACCACAGGCTCCAGAGTCCTCTAGAGGCCGGCTGCTGTTATTGTGCACTTAGTGTGCGGCCTGGAGTTTCTCTGGGTCCTCCTCTGCCCTCTGCTTTCAACATTCTGTGCACGCCTGTGGCACACTCCTGCTCGGCCCATGGAGGAAAACTGCTCATACCTGTGGTGGCTCTCGAGAGAATCCTGACGTTGCCACCCGCCCACCCACACTGCCTGTGCTTTCTACTGGTGTGGGTTCTTGGGCCAAGAGGCTTCCCCAGGGACATAGGGCTTTGTTTCTACCCCTCCTCCAGACACAGTGGGCTCACGCCAGGCCCTAGGGACAGCAGTATTTGGTGTCCTTCCCCAGTGGCTGGAGGCTTCTGCTTCGTCTGGCAGAAGCAAAGCAAGCCGTGCTGTTGTGGGTCCCCAGGGGGCAGCTGGCCATGCCCCTGCACCACTGAAGGGGCTCGTCTGTGGGCCTGCTCCACCTGCAGTGTTTCTCGTGAGAAAAGAAGAGCCACAGGGAGACCGCATCTGTGGGGCTCAGGCCTCACTGTGAGGGGTGGGACCCCGGACTGCTCCAAAGTCCTCTCGGCTTCCTGCTTGTCCCGCTCTCAGTGTCACAATCCCAGTGTCCCAGTCTGGCCGCTTCCCGGTGTGTGGTCTGAGCTCCTCCCTGCTTGTGGTAGGGGCTCCTCCCCTGAGTTACTGGGGCTCCTCCCGCAGACACCCCCTGCTGTCCGCCAGAGCTGGTCCTCCCGAGTGCGGGTGAGCAGCCCTTGCTTGGGCCCTTCTCCGTGCAGGTGCCACCTCTGACGAGCTGCAGGAGGTCCAGCTCCCTCTGATCCCGATGCCCCTGTGCGAGATCCTCTATAGTCACACATCCTACATCCTGCCGAACATGCTGTGTGCTGGGGACATCAGGAACAAGAAGACTGTGTGTGAGGTGCGCCCCGCCAGACGGGTGAGAGAGGCCAGGGGTGCCCAGCTCGGGGGGCTCCGGTGCGGGCTGTGGGCAGGGGCCTTGCAGCTGCA